GAGCAGAGTTTGGGGCTGCTGTACATAGGGTCGCTATGAGTCGCAAGCAACTCGATGGCACATAACAACAACAATAAGGCAGTAATGATGTGGGCAGCTAGAGAACAGGGGAATAGCACATGAGATGTGTCTAGCATGTTCTAGAAAAAGCTAGTAGATTGGAGGACCAAAACCTCAATGAGCAAGGGAGTAGCTGGAGGTCAGTTACACAGAGCCTTGTAGGTCAGAAAAGAAGTGATAGAATGGAAGGTAAAGAGATAAGGACCTTCTGTCAGAGAGTCAACCTAGAAAGTTTCCCCCTAGATCCACTTCTGTTTTGTAAAGCCACCCACTTGTGGCTTTACAGCAGCACCAGTCAACTTAGATGAGGCCTTTCGAAACTTTTCTATTACCCAGCATGAGAAGTACAAAAGATGCTTTGATAAACCATAGACAATTGGGAATAAATCCCACAGACTATGAATCATCTTAAGGGGAGGATGTCATATCAGCACCCACCTTCTCATATTACCTACTTGGTTTTTTACAAAGTGAGCCCAGAGAGACTATGTTGGTTATCTAGAAATCCCCTCATGTATCTGGCATGAGAAAATGGCAGTTCGGAGAGGACAGTTAGCCCTTAAAGTAACACAGGTCACCTGCTTCCCTGCATAATCTCCCTGGACCACACCATGGGCGATGCAATGAGCCCAGCTATGGCCCTGCATCACTGTGGCACTTGGATGGAAGGAAGAGCTGCAGTCATGTTTGGCTGTTCCATGTGCTACAGAGAAGGAAAGAGCTCAAGGTCATCTTCCCAGCAATACCACCCTCATCCATTTTGACTGAGGGCATAACCAGCGCATGAACGTTTTCAAACTAAAGCCTTTAATTCAGAAACAATCCCAGATTAAAGATAACTGCTAGTCTCCTGTGTCATTCCAAACTTCTTCAGTCATTGTAGAACCCTGCCATCTAGGGAGGAATTTCCTCTGAGGAGTTTTATGGCTTCTCGTAAAGAAGTTGCTTTTGATTTATGTTGATCATGTCTGACAGCCAGCATTGTCCTTAATAATAATCATAAATAAGTGAGACAAGGTCACCTAACCTGAAATGAGCATATCTCCACCACCATATTCATTACAGAGGCCTGGTGCTACAGCAGCTGGTCAAAGGAGTTGAACGCTCTGGGAACTCTATATTAAATCCCATCTCTAACACCAACCATGGTGCTTTTATTTTATACTGGCTCTCTCCACAGCTGCCCGCAGAGACATTTATGAACAGAGGTGGCACTTGCTGAAGGACATGGTCAGAGCCTGCTGGTCCCTTCAAACAGTTATTTCTCCATATTTACTTTTTTAATAAATAAAATTTCTGTTTCCCTTTGCTCTAGTATCTATCATAGTTAACCCAACATATGCAAGTCTCACAATAGAGAATGAAAGCTATTGAAATCATGAGAAGAGTTGGTAGATTAAAAGGCATGAAATTAGAGTCCAGGAGAGCATCTTCTAACACTAAATTTCATGAGGCTGCATTTCAAATATTATACACAAATTTGGAATTGGAAGACCAAGATGGAACAGGTGGTAAGAAAGCTTATCAATTACTCAACCAGAGAGAAGCAAATCAAAAGAAAATGAGATACCATCTCTCCCTAGTAGCAGTAACACAGTTTAATAACAAAACAAATAAGAAATATTAGCAAGGATGCAGAGAGTTTGGAACTCTTATGCACGGCTGGTGGGTTTGTAAATGGTACAATCAGTCTGGAAGGCAGTTTGTTATTTCCTCAAAAAGCTCAAAATAGTTTTATTTTTTTTAAAAAGAAAACAACTCAACATAAAAATCTCCTATGTCCCAGATATTCCACTGCTGGGAATATACCCTGAGGAAAACAGAACTAAGGCACGAATGGACATATGTACACCTATGTTCCTCATTTTGACTGGCTCTGAACATCTGGGCTCTACCACGATTACTGTAACTATCTGCATTCCTCTACTCTTCATACGCTTTTCAGAGGCCTGCTATTAAGAAGTGGATGGTTAAATGCCCATCAACAAACGAATGGGTAGAGAAGCTGTGGTATATTCACACAATGGAATACTATGCTGCATTGAAAAACAAGGAACTCATGCAATATTATTCAAAATGGATGACCCTGGAGGACATTATGCTGAGTGAGGTATCTCAGTCACAAAGGGACAAATGTTATATGGTACCACTGTTGTAGAATGAGGCTGGCATTGGGGTGGGGGTAAGACTGAGAAAAACTGGATGAAATATGTTTACGGCATTGAAGTCTATGGGAGAGAGAATAGTCTAAAAGTATTATATTTTAGGGCATTATTTTTATCGTAGGAGTATGCAATGAGGGTTGCAGAGTGGATTCTATTTGGGGGTAGGGGGTGGGGTTTGGGGAGGTGCGGGGGAATTGTGTACCAATGAGGGAGTTTTTCTTTTGCTTTTCAAGGAGAGGAGCAAAGGGGGGGAGGGGGGAGGGGTATGTGCGGGGAGAAGGGTGCAACAATGAATGAATGGAATCCCAAAATCTCTGTAGATGTTCATTGAAATGAAAAATAAACTAAATTAAAAAAAATAAGTTAAAAAAAACCACAAAAAAAAAAGAAGTGGATGGCCAATCCTGCTTTCTAGTCTGCCTTACTCTGAGAGCTCTACTAAAACGTGTCCACCATGGGTAACCCTTGTGGCATCTGACACACAAACGGGACTGGCTTACGTGTACTTTTGTCCTGCTTTTACTACATAAGATATTTCAACGCCCTGGCCTGGAAAGAAGACACTTAAGCTATACTGAATGCTCTTTATTTCCAACTTGTCTTATTCCAGGCTCTGCTCCAAGGTCTGTTCTTAGACTCAAAAGATTTAGAGAGCTGAGAGGCTCCATCAGAGTGAATCTGAGAATGACACATGCCATCAGGTCTACGTAGGCACCAGAGTTTGACAGGCATGAGGGTCCTGGGATGATCTGTGGTGGGAGGTGGTGGAGGGGCTACCTAAACCAGCCCTTTTGTGTAGGTGAACTTGTGTGAGCCCTTAGTCCCTTCACTTGATTGATCTGAGAAGGACAAAGGGTTCATGTATGCATGGACCATAGGTCCTGTGTTTGGGCTACAGTATTCCAGAGCTTATGCCTGCCCATGGTGGGAGGAGAGGGGAGAGCAGCCGTGGTTGAGAGGGAAGGTATATGGGAAGTTGCTGAGGGGGCCCCCTCTGGGTCTCACAGTATCTTTTAATTCCAAAATAAGCTGTTATATGGTGTTGAGTCAGAATAACTCATAGCTGATCCTTAGGGGTTTTCAGAGGCTGTAAATAGCCTGCCTTTCTTTCTTCCTTGGAGCAGCTGGTGGATTTGAACTACATGCCTTGGGTTGGCAGAGCAGTTCTTTGCTACTGGGGCACCAATATTCTTAGAGGGCCCATGATTCCACAATGTACCCTAGGGCCACAGGAGGGCAGAGGACAGGTCCAGAAAGCAGATGCAATGCTACCCCCACTTGGACAAAGGCAGAGCGCACACAGGGGCCTCTGAGGAGGTTTCGTTTCATTTGTTAGCACTGTTACATCAGGGCACTTCTGCTGAGCACAGATTGCTCCAGGCAACATCTTAAAGCAGCACACATGACCTTTGGTGCACTTTTCATTCCTCCTTTCTGTCCCCTTTTCTGCTTATTGTCCTTTTACCAGCACTGTCAACCTAAAGACAAGTTCAAATCAACTAGTTTGCTCTTTGGGATAAAGATGAGCACCTTCCTCCTGTGTAATTTACAGCCTCTGAAAACTCGCTGGAGGCTCAGCTATGAGGTGGTTCTGACTTACAGGCACATAACTACTCCATGGTTCCCAGGGCCACCAGCTGTCCCATCTGGGCCTCCTTTCTTTTGTCCAGCATGACTTTCTATCTCATTAACTCACATCCAGATTAGCCAGACTGTAGGCCCGTGCAAGAACTCTGGTGGAGCAGTGGCGAAGGCTTTGTGAGTGGTCAGAATCCAGCAACCTGCTGGGAACCAGAGGAAAGAGGAGATACCTGCTTCTGTGAAGGCTCACAGCCTTGGAAACCCCACGGGACAGTTACTCTGTCCTGGAGTATTCATTATGAGTCCGAGTAAGTGAGTTTAGCTTTCATTTTGGGGCCCATATCTTAGCTCTGCTAGACTATAAGACTAGAAAACGTCCCCAATGCATTTTAAACACTGTAGTGGGCATGCAAAGCTTGAGTGTGTGTGTATGTTTGTCTATGTGTACGTGTAAGAATTTCAGATGCTTCTGTGGTATGTGTGTGGAAGGTGTGAATACGTGTGTGATTTGTATGCATGTGTGTGTCTGCATATGGCATGTGCATGTGTGTGGCGTGTATATGTGTGGTGGGGTGTGTGTATGTGTGTTACATGTAGGCCTTCCCAGTCTGATGGCGGGTGTGAATTTATGCCTCTCTGGTGGCCTGGGGCAAGAAGCTGCGCTCCAAAGGCACGTGGTTCGAGGCCACCAGCTGCTCCATGGAAGAAGGATGGGCAGTCTCCTCTTGGGAGATTAACTGCCTCTCAAAACCCACCGGAGGGTCAGCTACGAGTCTGTTTTGATTCTATGGTACAAACAACAACAACAACAACAACAATAAGAGAGTCTAGCTAGGTAGGTCTCCCACACATGAGGCAAAATGCTTTTCCTCCCATGTCTGGTCGGGTTAGGAGGCCTCCAGCCCCCCATTACAGGCTTCTGCAGACACCAGATCATTAAGGAGACTACCTTAACCAGATTTCATAGAAAGCATTAAACCTTGGTCTTTCAGCAGCTTCAACCCCAGTACAAAAGTGGACAAAGCCAGCTTCCTCTAGGTGAGATAAAACCAGTACCCCTTCATTCAGTCCAGCACCCCTTAATGCACTAATCACCAGCGAGAGAGCCGCTCTCAGGTGACTGACACAGTCAATGACCAGGAAGGCAAAGACCCCACCATGAGCTGCCCAGCAAGGGCGCGGAGGGAGGCCTACCTGAATTGGACCTCTTCTTTGGGGTTTTGAGGCTGCGGCCCCGGCCGCTGACGGAGCTGCTGTTCTCACTCATGGAGTCCTGGGTGGATGATGCACTGCCGGTGGCCTCGCTGTCCCGCAGCATGCTCTCGTAGCCGCTGCTCCCGCCGCTGTGGTAGAACAGGGCCGTCTTGCCCATGGCCGGAGGGAGCTCCCCACTCAGCACGCTGCTGTTGTCGCTTGCATGGCCGCTGCTGCAGCGGTGGGGCCTGCGTGGAGGAGTGACCTTGCTGTAGGGTGAGGGCAGCACAGGTGCCCCGGGCTTCTCCTCGGCCTCAGGCCCTGCACGCCCTGCCAGGGCCCTTGCGCCTGCACCCCCTTGCAGCAGCTCTGAGATGCGCCCGTTGACAGCCCGCAGGGGCAGCTTGGAGGCTAGCCCAGAAGCAGAGGAGCCCCGATTCCTGCTGAGTGACTGGGTGGACCAGGACATCTGCTTCCCATTGGGAGGCAGCCCAGGGCTCTGGCCCACTGACTGCGGAAGGGACTTGGTGGAGAAGCTGAGAGTTTTGGTGGTAGCTGTGGCCAGGCTCCGCGCTTTGGGGCTGGCCAGGAGCAGCTTGCCCACAGCTGTGATCTTGGACTGGCTGGCCTTGGGGGAGGCCCCTGCCGATGAGCCGGTGACTCCCGAGTTGGGGGGTGAGGCCCCCACACTGCGGCCCACGCTCTTGCCTGCGCGGGGCATAGTGCTGTCCCTGCCCGCGTACATGCGCGAGGACAGGCTCTCGGCCCTCTCCAGTGACAGGCACTCATAGTGGCTCACAGTGGTCCTGCCCAGTGAGTTGGTCCTGCTGGCCAGCTGCTCCAGCTTGGCACTGAAGAGCTTGCTGCTGCTACTGGGCTCCTTCACCTTGCTGCCCAGCTCATCGGAGAAGCTGGCCAGAAATGTGGCGGGCTGGTTTGATGGGCTGCTAGTCCCACTGCTGCAGGTGCTGTGCTGGGGGCTGGCCCGGTTCTTCTGCTCCAGGCTGGACTTGCGGACCGGAGGCAGAGGAGGAGCTCCTTTGGGCCGGGCTAGGATGCAGTGCTTGGGGGATGCCACCTTCCTTTCCAGGGAGGCCTTGGAGGATGCAGAGCTGAAGCTACTGCTCTCGGGGGCACAGTGGAAGGAGAGGTTGTCCAGCTCCTCTTGTTGACTGGCTTTCTGGAAAGCTCTAGGCAGGCTGCTGGACCTCAGGTTCTTATTGGAATGGCCAGGGCTCTGGGCAGACAAACCAGACAGGGCCATCTCACAGCCATCCACAATCCTCCGGCAGTTGTCCGGCATGGGGGACGCAGATACCTCTCCGCTGCTGCTGCTGAGCCTGTCACCGGCACTGGACTTCCTCTCCTGGGTCTGCTCAGGCCCGGCCTCAGGCTTGGTGGGGCTGGCCCCCGTCTCATCCCTAAGCCCTTCGTCAGGATGAGCGTTCTCTCTCTTCACCTCATCCTCTCGCTTCAGCCAGGGGTCTGCAAACGTCATCTCTCTCTTGGCACTGGTGACCTGGCTGTCCTGGGGGTGACCTGCTCTAGGGGCTGTCCCGACAGGGGCAGTGGACACCTCAGTGTCCTGGATACTCAGGGGCCCCATGGTGATGCAGGGGTAGACGGTGATGTTGGTCTTCATGGGGATGTAGCCTTCTCGGCGGCTCAGGTTGGCTGTGTTGGAGATGGTGACCATGGCTTTGCCCAGCGTTGAGATCTTGCAAGCTTTGATGGGAGCGGATCTGTTGAAAGCATCTTCCCCCACTTCAGACAAGATGAGCACATTCTCAGGGCCCCCTCTGGGCGTCTCCCTGCACACCACAGCTGAGTTCGGCCGGCTGCTGATCAGTTCCGAGGCCGGGGGCTCGGCCATGGCTTCCCCGTGCCCAAAGCACGTCTGGGCGATGAAACTGTGACAGGACTGTTCACCGTCACTGGCCGTGCTCATCTCGCTCAGCCAGGAGCTGACAGAGGAGCGCCGGCTGCTTGCATCTGGGGCCTTCTCATCCAGGGCTAGCTTGGGAAGGGGCAGGAACTGCGTGATGCTGACCTCGGAGACAGAGGCCACGTTGGAGTAGCTGTCCAGGTCCTCACTGATGCTGCTGATGATGCTGACCGGCCGGGAGCCCGAGGCCAAGGCCTGCACGGAGCAGTCGCTGTTAAAGCTGATGATGCTGGTGGGGCGGCCGCCGTCCAGGACCCCGCTGATGGTCAGCTCCTCCACCAGTGTGAACACCAGCTCGTCCTCCCCATTCAGCTCCAGCGGCTGCTGCACCGTCACTGTGGTTGTGCTCACTATCTCCTTCTGGGCCTCAGGGCATGTGCTCGCGTGGTGCTCATCCTCGCCAGGGGCTTCCGGGAACTCCTCGCTCCCAGCAGACATAGATCTCTTCAAAACCTGGGGACTCATTCCCACCGGGGGGGTCCGGACATCGGGCTGCGGCCCAGGTTCGTTGGATGCTGTGCCAGCATCCTTGCTCAGGGCCGGCGGGGGTGCAGGGGCGGGCAGGACCCCCTTCTGGGTGTAGACCTTGCACCTCTGCGATGGAGAGCCAGGGGTCTTATAGTCTGAGGTCTTGGACAGGCTGGCAACACCCAGGCGCGGGGAGCCCACCGGTCGGGGCTTGCCCTCGCTGAGGCCGCACGAGTTGAGGCTCTCCCGGCTGCTCTGGAGGCTGGAGCTCTGCACCAGTGGGGAGCCATGCTGGCTGCTGCCCGGCACGCTCCGGGGAGAGGCTGGGCTGGGGCTGCCCAGGGTCACCACTGGGCCTGGGGACTGATGGCGTTGCACCCTGGAGGCCGGGTCCGTGCCCTCCCTCTCGGCCAGCTGGCCACTGGCCCCGCTCTCCTCCTTGTCAGGCTCAGAGAGCATGCTGGCCCCGTTGGCCTGGCCGGGTGCACGGCACCTGCTGGCCGCCTCTGCCCCAAATGGGACAGGCAGCTCCTCGAAAGGAAACTTGCTGGGCTCTTCGCTGCCGTCGATGCAGTCGAGTCTCTCCTGCAGCTCTGCGAACGTGTTGCACTTGAGGCAGTCCCTCTCGGCCTGGCTGGCGGGGGCCTCTGCGGCCTCGAGAGCCCGGCCATCACTCCTGGCCTTCTGCAGAGCCGGCACGATGGGCACAAAGTCCGGGGGACCTTCATTGTCTGTAAGCTCCTTGTCGGAGAGGGCTGTGCCATTGGGCCCGATGTAGATGACCGTGTCACAGGACTGCTCGCTGCTGGAGGAATAGTCAGGGTCACTGGACAAGTGCGGCATGGCAAAGTCGGGGTCCCCTGCGGTCCTTGTGTGGAAAGGCCTCAGCTGTGTGGGCCGGCGCATCCGGCCTTCTTCGCAGGAGCTCTCTCCGCCAGAGGAGCTGGATGTGTACTGCGGGGAGAGGAAGGGGATGAGTTAGAGTGGGGACACAGAGATCCTCAGCACAGCCCGGACAGGCTATTGAAGGCCACGGTGGGCCCCAGTATGGCCCATCACTTGATGTGTCCACGCCTGTGTGTCTATCTGTCCCACAGCTGCATGTGCAAAGACCAGTGCCAATGAGACACACAGGGCGAGGAGAAAAGGCCCCGTACAGAAGGACAACCAGCCCAGACCCCATTTGGCCACGCAAGGGCTGAAGGCATCTCCAATCTGGAGGCCCAAGCCATTTGCAGAACCTTACGCCACAGACTATCTCTCCTTTAAACAGTTGGGACTGTTATTGCTGTGTGCTATTGAGTTGGAACTGACCCATAGCTGACCCTCCAGCGGTTTTGAGAGGCAGAAAATTACATGGGAGGAGATTACTTATCCTTCTCCCATAGAGCAGAGGGTGGATTAGAACCCTGTGCTTTTGTGTTTGCAGTGCAGTTTCTTACCACTTGGCCACTGGAGTATCCTGTCTCTTATCTATGCATCTACATCTATCTATCTATCTATCTATCTATCTATCTATCTATCTATCTATCATCATCACCTCCATTGGGCAAAAGGTTCAAAGGCACAAGGTTCAAGGCCACCAGCTGTTCCATGGGAGAAAGATGGAAAATTTCCTCCCGTGTAAGTAACTGCCTCTGAAAACCCTCTGGAGGGTCAGCTATGGGTTGGTTCCGATTCTATAGAACACAACAACAATAACAACATATGTGTACACACTGTTAACCTGAAGGCATGTGGTTTGAATCCACCAGCTGCTCTGCAGGAGGAAGCAGGGCCATCTCCTTTTGTGCAATTAACTGCCTCAGAAAACCTGGTAGAGGGTTGGCTGTGAGTTGGCTATGCCTTGAAGATACATAACAACTATATGTCCGTCCGTCCGTCCGTCCATCCATCCATCCATCCATCCATCCATCCATCCATCCATCCATCCAAGAGCCAGACCACAGAATTGATTCTGCCTCACCACAACCCCGTAGGTATGAAGCAGAATGGTGTCCCATAGTGTTTTCTAGGCTGTATATGTTGGGGAACTTATCTCCAGATCTTTTTTTTTCCTTCCCAGGTATGTCTGAATAGATTTGAACTACCAACCTCGCATCTACTTGTAGCATGCTCACCCCTTTGGACCACCCAGGGTCTGTTCTATACAATGAAGCATAACTGTCTCCCCCATCACCATGATCCTGGACCTAAGTGACCACAATGATGACTGCTTCTAACACTTGCTTTCTCAACCCTAGCTTTGCTGCTTTAGAAATGAGTCTTGTGATATTTTTAGCTGGTCCTCAGCATCCACCTGAAACCACTAAATTTGCATGGCAATGCCCAGGTGAACGAAGAGGACTATGGGAAATCAAGAAGAATCAGAGCTGCGTTAATCCAGACTCAGTAATCCCCTTTGGGGTCAAACAGTCCAAGGGCTGTCTCCACCTCCATCAGACCAAGACAGGCAGGAAGAAAACAGTGGCTCTTTCTGGTCCCTCCCAAACACTGCCTTCTAATTGGTAGCACACTGGTAACATTTAGAGAGGCCCACGTGCTCCCTGGTGGGTGAGGTGGCGGTGGAAGGGACCAGCTCTGGGGAGGAGACAGGACATGGGTGATGCCTCTTCACGACCCTGTAGGTGTTCTGTCCCCAAAGCGGCACGTGACCCTGGCACATGGGGGCCAAGTGTGCACTGGCTCCTCTGGACGCTGGCCCAGGGCAGGGCCCCAAAGGGAGGCCTTTACCCAGCCCAGCGCCTGCAGACTCCTTACCTTCGTTTTCTTCTTCTTCATCCTCAAGACCCGCGAGGCGATCTGGATGGTGGACAGGGTCTCAGCGTAGCTGCCCGCGGCCGCCGAGATGTGAGCAATCATGGTGGTGCGGCAGTTCATGTTCCCCAGGGACTCGCGCAGCAGCATGGTGAGCTTGCTCTCCCTGCAGGACAAAGTGAATTAGGGCCGCATTAGGGGGCCATGCTTCACACAGGCTGTCAGGCCTCGCGCTGGGATTTTCTGTTGTTATGGGCATTTTTTCTTTCCTTTTTTTAATGGCATCCTAATGAGTATCGTTCTCCCGTGTGAGCCTATTTGTATTTGGCAGAAGAGCAACTGCTTCTAACCCCAAGGATCGAATTCATGCAAATGCCTCCCTTGGCACCGCTGCCCTGGCTGGGGTGGGGTGGGGTGTCCTCTGTGCACGTGCACACGATGGGGCCCATTGGGTGGCCTGCAGATACAGGCAAGGGGGAGGGATCACCAGAAAGTGCCTCTGCGGCTAGGGTTTCCACAAGCCGCTTCACACATGGCCTCTCCCTGTGTTTGCAAACTTGCAGTCATTGAAACAAAGACCTGTCACCCAACCCAAAGCTTCTATGTTGTTAAGTGGCGTCAAGTGGGAACCAACTCATAGCTGACCCTCCAATGGGTTTTCAGACACCGTAAATCATACAGAAGGAGACTGTTCTTCTTTCTCCCTTGAAGCGCCTGGCAGATTCAAACTGCCTGCCGTTCACTTGGCAGCACAGGTCCTTACCACTAGGCTACCAGTGTCTATAAAGACGACTTGATATGTTTCTTTTCTTTTCTCAAAACCCTTCTCTGTCAAGATGTTAAACACTTTACTGCCACTGCCTCCTATTTAGTAGTGATGGAGTTACACAGACCCACGCTCTGAGGGTGAGTGGAGAGCCAGAGAGACCCAGGTGCCCACACAGTCAGGACTTCCTAGAACGGTCTCCACAGAGGCCTCCACATGAGCTCTGCAGTGGTGATGATGAAACTGTGGCCTACATTGTCAGCTCAGCTCTTTTAATGCATAAACCAGGAGGATTGTGGATTCAGGTAAATCACGGTATTTTTTTTGTCTGTTTCCCAAGGCATAGAAAAGTAATGTTTACACTGTATTGGGGTCGATTACATGCAAAACAGCATGATGGAAAAGTTTCAAATATTATGTGAATGATCGGAACATCACACAAAGACATGAAGCGAGTACATGCTATTGAAAAAAATGGCATTGACAGATTAGCTCAAGACCTTCAATTCATAAAAAAACAATACGTGAAGTACAATAAAGTGAAATGTTGTTGTTGTTGTTATGTGCCGTCAAGTCGCCTGCGACTCATAGCGACCCTATGTACAACAGCCCTAAACTCCGCTCTGTCCTGTGCCAATCGTACTGTCTCTGACACTCCCATCCCAATTATCCCAGTCACTGAATCAATCCACCTCATAGAGGCCCTTCCCCTCCTGCGCTGTCCCTCCACCCTCCCAAGCATGATGTCCCTCTCCAAGGACCGGTCTCTCCTCACAACATGTCCAAAGTAAGTTAGACGGAGCCTCAGAATCCTTGCCTCCAAGGAGCCACCCGGTTTAACCCTTTCCAGGACAAATCTGTTTGTTTTCCTAGCAGTCCATGGTATTCTCAATACTCTTCTCCAGCACCACAGCTCAAAGGCATCAATTCTCCTTCTATCCTCCTTGGTCATTGTCCAACTCTCTGATGCATAACAGGTGATTGCGAAGACCATGGCCTGTATCAGACGCGAAATATGTCTATGTAAAATTACTTAATTACTGGATGGTAAAGGAAAGGAAGATCCCCAACCGGTGGCCTGACACAGTGACTACAGCGATGGGTTCCAGGGTGCTAGGATTCTGAGGATGTCACACAACAGGACAGGACAGGGTTCAGATCTATTGTTCACAGGGTTGCTATAAATTGTACGTGACTCAATGGCACCTAACAATAACATGTAAAACCACTTAATAAATTAATAAAGTTGGTAATGTTGATTCAAGGAAATAATTTTTATTTTTTTTTTAAAGAATTTGCTCTGGAGGAACGACTCCAGTTTTTCCATTCTCCTACATGTCCCTCGATCACCCTATCTGTCAGTATGTCGCACTGCGTTACCCATCCCAGGTAGATTTCAGCAGAGCTTCTAGACTAAGATCAGGAAGCAAGGCCTGACAGTCTACTTTCAAAAATTAGTCCCTGCACACCCTATGGATCACACAGAATATCAGCTGATATAGAGCTGCAAAATGCACCTGATATAGAGCTGGAAAATGAGTGCCCTCAGCTGGAAGGCAGCAGGGTGCTCACATGTGACTATGAATAAAGATGGCATGTAACTAGGTCATCTTTAGGATATAGTTTAAGTGTGCGCCTGGGAGCAGATGTTTTGTCATTCATCATGCTGCCATTTGACACAGTAGATTCAACCACATGGAACAACATGCTTGTCCTAAGTCCATCCCTGCTCAGTGTTTAAAAGGCCACTTCTTATTACCATATGTACACTGCTTTGACATTAACTACCACTCTTCTTGCTAAAAAAAAAAATCCACCTTTTCCTTCAGCATGCCTCCCCACTGACTGCTGCCAAATGCCAGTTCCTCTCACAGTTTCCCGCTAGACCTTAACCCCCAGATGCCCTCTCTTTGTTTTCAGAGCCTGGGCGTGTGCATCTCTGTCATATCTGTAATGCCACATGAGAAATGCCTGCTTTCACATCTGTGTCCTTAGCCCTCCGCTCAGCTGTGAGTCCCTCAAAGGAGCCACTCCGCCCTGGTCACTCCCTGGAGAGGCCTGTCCAGCTCAGCAGCCTGTGAGACGTGGCTACAGTCTGCAAGTTGCAGCCATGCAGAAGGACGGAACCATTGACATGTGACCCGGGGCAGGTCTGGAGGGGGGCTGTGGTGTGAGCAATCGCGTCTCCTGTTCATCTGGGACCAATTAAGGTGTCAGGCTGAGGACACCGCGCTTGCCGTGGCTCAGTTCTAGGGCAAAGTGAATCTGCTTCTGTGCTTCCAGCAGAACAGTGAGGAATGACAGTGGAGGGGCCTGTGCTGAACACCAAGTGCCCTTCACAACAGGTCTGGCAGGTTGGCACCAAAACCAGCAGAACTGACAGCCAGACAGAGCAAGCCAGGTAGATGTTTTTCATGGAGATGTCACAGCTGGCACACCTAAGGCTTCATCTTCAGTCTGGGAAATGGTAGATGGATTATTTTAAAATTTTTTAAAAAAATTTTATATTGGTTTGCATACAAAATTTGTACACCTTGTTTATTGTGTCCTTGTGTCTTGTAGTCCTACATTCACAGTGTGTTTCAAATGATTACTCATAAACATCTTGTTTTAGAAAATTAATCACCACTGATCTATGCCTTCTTTTAACCCATGTTTTCAGATCCCAATTGGATCTTTTCTAATTCCTTCACCACCTCAAATTCCACCCTTCACTCACCAAACTGAGTTAGTTCACTCAGCATTATGCTCTCTAGACTCTCCCATGTTATATATTATAAAATTGTTACTCCTTAGTGCTACATAGTAGCCCAAATGTCCACCAGCAAACAAATGGATTGCAAAATTATGAAACATTTACACAATGAAGATGGATTCTTGGAGGTTTATGCTGTACCCCTGAATTAGGGAGTTCCTAACGATATAGCTTATTAATCAAATGCACAAGATGACTTCTCTATATGACCCTGAATAAGTTCTCAGGAGAAAGTACTGAAACAGAAGAAAATAAACTTCACTATATTGAACTGTTCACCATGTTTCCACAGGATTCCCCAATCATGAACCAATAATATGGACACATGTTTCAAGAAGGAAAAAAAAGAAGGGCACACTGATGGGAGAAGTCGTAGTACACGTGTGTTGCTTAGCAACAGGCACTGCAGCTCTGCTGAAAGGAAGCTGGTAAGACCTCTGCCAGGTTCACAAGGGCCCACCCGGGACCCTGCACCCTGCCTTGTGGGATTCAACTGGTTTTTCCAGCCTCAGGATGATCATTTAACTGGAACAAGGACCTGAATACTGTACATTTAACTCAGGATCTTTGCTAAGTAAAGAAAAAGGTTCGAAGAGTTTCGAGAGTAATAGTCAGCAATGATCTTTGTACCAAAAGTGAAGGAATGGGTGTCCCTGAATGAAGGGTTAAAAAGCTGTGGTGTGTTCAAACAGTAGGTGTTATACATCACTAGCAAATGATCCATAAACAATGGAATACTACATGATACAGATTAAATAAGAACAGATTATGCTGAGGGATAGAAGTCAGTTACAGAAAAAGCCATTATAGTGTAAAATCATTGATATAAAAACCCAAGAAACAGTTTAACACAAAAAGAATACATTTTGGAGGTTTAACGGAGATGAGAATTGAGGGAGAGAAGGGAGCCAAAAATAAAAAAAGGTAATGATCCTATCAGTTGATGCAGAAAAGGCCTTTGATAAAATCTAACACCCCCTACTGATTAAAACACTCAACAAAAAAAGGAATAGAAGAGAACTTCCTTGAGATAGTGAAAAGTATATGCACAAAACCAAGAACCAATATAATTCTCAGTGGAGAGAGACTAAAATTATTCCTCTTGCAAACAGGGCCCATACAGGATGCCCACTCTCACCACTCCCATTTTAAATTGTATTGGAAGGTCTAGCTAGGTCAGTAAGGTAAGAGAAGAAAACAAGAGGCATCTAAACTGGCAAAAGATGGTAAAACAACTGCAATATGCAGACAATATCAAAGTGTACAGAGAAAACCCCGAAGATTCAACCAAAAAAAAAAATAAAGGTACACTAGTAAACAAGTTAGAGTGGCAGGATACAGGATCAACATACAAAATTCAGTTGAATTTTTCCACAGCAACAAAGGAAGCATGGAAAATGAAGCTAGAAAAGCAATACAAGAATCAACCACAAGATGAAATACTTGGGATTTAACCTACTACCTTTATGGGTAAAACTGCAAAACAAGAAACTGTTATTGTGTGCTGCTGAGTCAGAATCAACTCAAAGTTGACCCTCCAGTGGGTTTTCAGAGGCAGGTAATCACACAGAAGGAAACTGCCCATCCTTCTACTTTGTAGTTGGTAGATTTGAACCCTGAGCCTTTGGGATTGCAGCACAGCTTC